GATGAAGCAGTAGTTCCGAACTTACTGGTAAATCATTTACGAAAAATCGACGGTACACTGTAGCTGTTAGTCTGCTAGGTAAGACAACTGGTCCTAAGAGTTGATCACATAAGCTGCCCACCTAGAAATTGTCTTGCCCATATCTGAATAGGCATTAATTTTTGGACACATGCCGAATGAGTGTTTTGCTACTTTAAGTGAGCACTATACCCCTTTAAAACATATAACCATTTCTTCAACACTGTATGAGTACATTATACTAGCAGTAAGCAGTTACAGACTTACGGTAGGTCTTCTCAGAACAAAGAGAGAGCCGAATTTTCCTGGTCTTATTCGTACGGAATTTGGGCTTACATTTTTTTATATTCCCATATTTCATGAAGTTTATTTAATACAAAAAAAAATACATGTGATAAAATATGGAATAATATCTATGGAATACGTACGGATTCCTGTGTTTAGTTTTTATTTTTTGTTTAAGTAGAATAGGTGTAATCATATTATTTTTTCCAAAAGTTTTTACTTAATTCACAGTTGAATTTCCACGTTATAATTTGATTTGTTGTCGGCAATGAAACCATATTACTNTAATAATAATAATAACCCAATTAATTCTTATTTAATCATAATAATAATAATAATAATAATAATAATAATAATAATAATACTTGTAGATAAACATTTACAAGCTCTCACCTTTTTCTTCCAGACTGTACACTAATATAAACTAATCGCACAAGGGTTAATTTAGTGCATTACAGAAGTAAAGCAGTGACCCAAGAAAAGTTCCTGTAATATTTATGCGGCTTAATTTTGTGTGCGCAAGAAATACCTCCGTGCCACCCGTACTCACCAAGCTTGAGTTGGTACTGACAACACAAACATCCTCCTGCGATACAGGCATCGTCATGATGACGTGATTTGACCTTGCAGCACCGCTGAGCCATCTCGCATCTCTTGTCGATGATCATTAGCAGCATTACATCTTGGCTACTCACGTCAAGAGGAATAAATTTTTCTTCCATATTTTGCCAGACTCCCATAATACTTTCAGCCCTTCGGTTTATATTGGCATATCTGTGCCTTCTTTTGTACTTAAATTTACGAAGGCGGACGGACGGTGTTCAAGCGAGATGATGCCGCCCGTTCATAATACGACAAGCTTCTGGTATTCAACGGCAAGTTGCATCCGTCTAATCAGAATTTACATCCCCTTATTGGACTTAAGGGTGCGAGTGTTTATCCCGCAATTTAACTTCATGAAACGTACAAGTGGTAGTGGTATAGGTGGTAGAAGTGCGATTGCCCGACGTAAAACTAATGGATGGTCAAGTACAAGTTGAACTGCAACTGACAGTCACAAATACAAATCAAAGAAGTCACAGAAGAAGTACAGTATGCGCCATAATAAAACAGTACTTAAATGAAAAAGAGTCCTGTTGATACCACTGTCTATTCATGTGAACGCGGGTGTAAATTCTAATTAATCGGACGTATCTCGCACGTGCATCCCACAAAGGTGACATATTATTCACGGTCGAGATTATCGCGTTTATATATATCTTCTACCTACATTCGTGATTTTAAGTCCGAAAAAGAGCACGTGATAAGCTAATTCGAAACACATTCTTAATTATAATTCTCCGCTACACCTGCTGGGGCAAAAATATGTCAAAATATTTTGAACCCTATATGACATAACAATGATACAACCAGATTCTAACTAGTCATGCAAATGAGGGATAAAGTAACTACAGGTCTCATTACCGAGTGTTAAGTGCAGTGTTGTTACAGAATGATCCACCACGGTTCGGGTTGCATGGCTTTGAACCCCGTATTCTGCATTTTAATAGAACGTTGAATGGTTGACTTTTCTGTGCGTCGTGTAAATTATCTTCCTCCATAATTTTCATGTACACGTCCCAATATGAGATGCACCTTTCATTACACTAATTATCAGAGCGGTCATGCAATTGTTCGTTTATAGTGTGGCGTGCCGCCTAGGTCCGGAATATTTGGAATAAGAACGCATCCATTGCTATACAACGGCTAGCAATTTCTAGGCAGCGAAGCCTAGGAAATCGTTGCTCCTGAAATGAATGTCTAACAGAGGGGTTTTCACGGTTACAAACGAATTATCTGGGGCAGACACGTATTCCGGCTTTCGTTGTGTAAGAGCGTGCGAAATTAACCCTTCTACAAAGTATTCCCCGTTCAGTCCGATGGCAAGTTATAGCAGTCCACGTCGGCCAGAGACTTTGTATTTGACTTTAGAAGGAGAGAGTTATTATCCGACTAGAACAGGAGAGTTCTTATCCGACTAGAACAGAATTGTTGTAAAATTGAAGAAGAAACGTCTAAAGGACGTTATAAGTGGAGAATAACTGCAAGTGTGAGTGTAAAAGTGACTGTCCAATAAAGGTATTCGTTCAAATCCGAGAACTCACACGATTTTTTGTCGCGTTGCCTAGCAAACATGCGACAATATCAGTCGTTGTTCTTTTTCTTACATCTCAAATATTGTCAACATTTCAATAACCTCCATTTCCCGGCTGCATAAGAGTGATCCTCACATTTGTTACTTCTGGGAATTTGAGCTCATAATTATTATTCTTATTCAACTTCTCGTGTTTGATAAACTGCTGGCACATTCCTTAACTATCTTCGTTACAAGCGACATCTTTGATTGGCTCACACTGCTATCTACGCTTTCTTGTATACACACAACTCTTGTTTTGGGGTGCTTGTAACAGGTTGCTATGGAAGTGAAACTCATTATGTCATAGGTGTTATGCTAGCGATCCTGTTCAAAGTAACTGTATAAAATGTTCACAGTGGTGTGTAGAGTGTGTTATTAAAGTGCTCACAGGATCACATTGTGTACAGGAAAGCACGAGTTGTTACAGCTGACATTCTTGTAATTGTATTTTATAGTTTAGTCTAGAGCATATATGGTGATGTACACGTTTTGTGTTTTAATGCTTAGAAGAGTTTCGAATGATATTTCCTTAGGTCCGGATTGTAATAAGTGATTTCCCTATCTAATATTTGAGCATTATTATTGTGGGGTGGATACCTTTCATATAAAATATACGTATATGCTTCACGTATGTCGAGAAACATAATAATGTAAATAATGTCAATATTCGAAAATAGAATAAAATTTCTGAATAAATCATTCGATTTATATTTCAATGTCAGGTTTTTCAGATGTAAATTGTTCCCATCACCGGAATGGGGAGGGCGGGAGATAATGTTAAGAGCCAAGATATTTGCAATATTTTACTGAGTTTTCAACAACAAAACAGCTTAAGACTCCAGGCATTGTAACGTTTCCATCAACAGTGTGCTGCGACTGGATGTAGACGTGTGAAGGAACACTCAGGAATGTACTGGCAACAGTGTACAGCTCTCACAATTGTCGCTTCTGTTGCAGCTCTTCTTATTACTTAACAATTATTTTTATTAGTTGAGCAGTATTCTAGGATAGAACAAGGAACTCACTTGTACGTATAAAACTTTCTGCTGTGTTATACACGGGATACACGAATCTGCTGTTATGAATGTCGCAATTCGAACACGCTTTCAGACAGACCAACAGAGATGTGATTATAATTTCCGGAGCAGAAAATTGCCGTTTTTTAAAATGAACAGGGCCGTGTTTTGAATAAATGAGGACGATGGGTAATGTCCAGAAACATATTATTTGCACCGATGTACCATCGAAGATCTCTTTCATATAAGAAGCAACTGAAAATGAAACCAAATAACTGACGCCTCCTGCGAACACGAAAGTGAACATTCCGGCTCCAAAAAGGGGGGGGGGCATGTTGACTGGAAGAATGATAACTGCGCCTAGAGAGTTCTATTCCCCACAGGAAAGTTAAACCAACGACGGACAGTACCGGAGAAAAGGCTTGCTTTTCAATAAACTATTCATATTTATCTCTTAATATTTACTGCTGCAGCCAGAGCTGATGACAGGTACCAGATTAAGAATACAGATTATTTAATAACACATATAACTTTCCATAATAATTTTCCTTTGGAGTAAAACGCGGCCGGCGCGTAAGGCTGACAACCTTACCGCCATCATTTATCTAATACTGTTATATAACACTGATTAGTGAACATGGAACAGTTAGGAGGTTGTTCTAATCTTTATTATCTATAGCAGCATAAGGATAACTTTCTACAATGACAGGTTCTGTTCTAGGATTCAAGTAAGATGGTTGACGTCTGCTAGACTTGCAGAAGTAGGGATTGTCATGAGTACATTGAAACTTATCAGTAATACATAAATATAGCCATACGCCTTACTTCAAGGATTGATAACACTGAGTAACATTTCTCGTAACAATACGATCCAAGTTTTGTTTAGTTTTAGGGAGGCCTCCCTCACTTTCCTTTCTTTAAGCCAGAGATGAACATTGTAAACTTCAAAATTTTCACAGATTTTGTGTCTAAAATGTTTAATAATTTCAAGCTACGTAGTAATGGGCCGTTATGTTGAACTTGAACAATCAAGTACACGTAACACGGCGAAGATGTAGTTCTGGCTCACTTCAAGTTATAAACTGCCACTCGTTCACCGGCATGTTCAAACCCTTGGTTAGTTGTAGTTATTTTTTAGTTTCTTTGAGTGGGGCGAGACTTAGTCCACTTGGTACGTCGGCCACTAACTGGCCTATTGTACTGGTACCGGATGGCAGATGATGATTGAGGAGAAGTCGCTGGAATGGGAATTAGTAAGGGGAACCGAAGTACTCGCAGAAAACCTGCCCCAGTGCCAATTTGTCCACCACAATTCCCACATGATGTGACCTGGGCTCGAATCCGACCCTCCGCAGTGGCAAGCCGGCAACTAACCACCTGAGAAAGTTAGCTGAAACTTATAATCATTTATAATTTTGAGACTTCTGGTGTGTCGTAAAGACGTATGTTGCTTGTATTCAGAGCAGGAGTTCAGCTTATTCCATGCTTCTCTTTTTAATCTGCAGCCACATTCCTCCAGCAGGAGTCAGTAGGAATGATTTCCCATTGAAAACCAGAGGAACAGGAGTTTTCTTGCTTACACTGAACTGGTATTTGGACAGAAGAGAAACCAGTCCCACCTTGGTTTGCATCAATCCGAACCGCATTCCTGGAACCGATGTTTATGCACTGGTTAGTAAGTAAACAAACAAAAGTTCGCCTGCTTGTGGTACACTAAATAATGCTAAAATAGTTGACATGAACTTTATCGTTATGCTCAGAATTTAGTCATCACACAAAAACTGACAGAGAGTATACAATCCTGATTTCAATGAAAGCAGTGCTTTGTACCCGAAACAATTTCTGTATGGCGTGTATTTTACGTTTAGCGTGACTACCGCACTGTAATTTCGCAACGTTAGTTGTACATCTACAATAATGAATATCAGACAAAGATAATTAAAATGAAAAAGTGTTGTGGTGTACCTACTTTATTTAAGTATTACTTTCCACTATTCTTACGCCTTATGTGGACACAGATTAATGAAAAAGAGAGTTACAAGGGCATAAGAATGAATCTATATATACTGTGACGTGGACGGCGCAACGCTCGGTAAACCCCCCCCCCCCCACTCCGCGATGACGTAACAGAATCGGAGCAACTGCCGCCTCTACGGTAACAGACCAATCAACACTCCGTCCCACTCCCCCGCGGAGACGTAACAGCACTTCCCACAGTGACGTAACAGGGGACACCGCGGTTACTACGCAGCAATAAACAACTCAGCAGCGGTCCCCAGCAACGCCTGTAAACACGGCGTTTACGCAACAGTGGTAGCTATCACGTAACTGTGCTGTCAGTGGGGAAGCTACATATCGAAGAGGATTACCGGAGTAACCAGTCTGTTGCAGTCTAGCGTTCGCCGGAGTGAATGCAAGCAGGAGAACTAATTGTGTTACTGCCGGTGGCAGTAATTGTGTAATTTTGTAATTGTAAATTGTGTAAATGAAGAGCGAGTGGAATAAATTCGCTATATCCAAGACGGCGTGAAGTTATATGTCGCGTTATATACCCAACACGTGACTATATACATATATATATAAATTATTACAGGTAAGATCAAGTATTTCAAATACAGTATAATGAAATTTACGCGTGAATGGAAATGGCACTAGGAAAACAATTGGCTTAATCTTCAGAAGACATCCTAAGAATAAATATATTTTAGAGCGAACTGAAAGTTGAAGAGAAATGAAAGTGAAAGTCGGCCGTGCGGAAATAAAAATACCGAAACAGAAATACATTCAGGATATAGAAATACGTGTAAATGTGAGTATATATGGAACTGAATTGAGTAATTATCTGTAGTGTGGTTTGTTATAAGGGAATGGGTACATTTCATAAAGCAAGAAGTCAAGACATGACGCAATAATGTAATCCAGAGCACAAAAGTTGGTAAACAAATGAAAAAACAAACTCAGTAATCAATTACTAATTGCTGGAATAACAATAACAAATATCGTTCCCAAATGAAGAAAAGTCACTGGAATTAGCATTAGAAATTGAGCGACTAATATTCGAGACATAACAGGCTAATATCTGAATAAGAAGAGATGATAATTATCACTTAATGTGATCCTTGTACATTTCAATAACACTTTTATGAAATACTTACTGATGGGTGCAACTTACCTATACAAATTCTGGGTCCCTCTCCGAAAGGAAGATAGACATAATGGTGTCTCTTCTGCTTCTCTTCCTCACTGAACCGTTCGGGATCAAACCTGTCAGGATCGGGGTAATATTTAGGGTCATGGTGAAGACCAATCACGGATATGAAAACCTTCATTCTGGTGTCCAAAACAATGTCTGTTTCCGGAATATGGTATGGCTTCGAACACTCGCGCGTTAACGCTGGAAGCGGCGGATATTTTCGGAGAGTTTCTGAAACAGAAGCGTTTACTTACAAATTTTGGTTTTATTGCCGACTTTCGTCAGTGCAGCGATCGTGATGTAGGTCATAGATGAACTGATAATAAATGTTACTTGCACCCCATTAGACTTATTGCTAATTACCTTGGGTATATTATTCGTAACCCTTTGGTTTCTTTTCCTTCGCCCTTAGTTTTTATTATTTCTTTTTCAACATGTTTTATGCAAGGGTTAGGCTCATACCTACTTCTATGTGATCGAAAGTGAATCTAAACTGCTAACTGCATGCTTTGAATTACTTTCTGATTCCAAGAGGCGTTACATGAGCTCATTATTTTTTATTACATAACGTTTTATATAATTCTATTGCATATTTTTTCATGTTTCTTCCGACGTTCCGGTGGTTTAATATGTTGTTGATAATCAGGGGACGAGGTGGTGTTACTGCCTGCATGGGTCTACAATACTGACTAAACGAACTTCTGAATGACATAAAAGAATTGTGTAACTTCTAATTTTGTGATGTTATAATTTTTATGCAATACATAGGTATCTCTGAACAGACTGAAAAATTTTATTGGCTGCACGATTTCTTGGATTTCTGCGGTCAGGTTATTTTGTGCATATACTTCGCGAAAATAGTGTTGTACAACATGACACGTTAGGGCAAAAATAAGTTCACTTTCATAGGTTTTATAAGTATATTTGCAAAATTTCCTTTCCCTGTCGTCATGGCAACTTATTGTCGAATGAATAAACAGTCATTTCTGTAGGAGCTTCTGCTCTCTCACAAGTTAAAATGCCCCGGGGGAGGGGGGAAAGGGGGACGCTTACAAAATTGCATAATAGATTCCAACCATTAATACAAATTAAACACCTTTTGAATTTTCAATATTTATTACATAAGTAGTTAATTATTCAGTTCAGTCCTATTCAGCAGACGAGCAGTGTATTCGTTAAGAAGCCTACTTGCAAAGGTCAGATGTCGCTGTTTCGATTACGTGAACTGCTTCGCACGTCGGCTATTTTTTACCGCGAAAAGAACCTTCTGCCCTATGTCCATTAAACAGTAGGCTGGACGCGGTGGTGCGGAGAACAATTTCAACTTCATTTCAGGGATCGGTTCCTAGTAGTATAGTCCGTGGCCATCATTTCAGTGTAACAAAGACTGATGCTTGTAAAACGCTCTGATACTAACTTATAATACGACACACAGACAACAGTAGGAGAGAATGTCGTGCATTTTGCCTCACCTGATACAACTTTGTCCAAGAAGCTCATCTCCTGGACGGCTTCGTATGAGATTTTCCCGTCGTGTTTCTCCAGCACCGTGTCGATCTCTGTGCGCAGCCGCTCCTGTATGTCCGGGTTTACTGACAACTCGTACAGACAAAACGTCATGGTAGTCGAGGACGTCTCGAAACCCGCAAGGAAGAAGGCAAAAGCTTGAGCAGCCATGGAGCTCATCGACAGACCTGTAGAGTGGTATATACTTGCACAGTTCAGAAACTAACTAATCAGCCAACCGGCTAAACAAACTATCTGAGACATTATTGGAATATTAAGCTCTCCATTGTAACGAACTTAACAGAAAAGATGATATGATACGTATAGATTTACATGTTTCGGTGTGATAGTGAGAATGAAATAGACCATATAGAACAGAGACGCTTGTTGGAAGATATGAGTAAAATTAATCCTGGGGAAATGGAATTGACCTGTTATGGACTGGATGATTCCGGGTCTTTTCAACCTGGTAATGGGACATCGTCTATAGAAAATTTTGGGTAATTCCTGAATTTCCATCAAACTCTTGGCTTCGCAAGGAAGAGTCGGTTTCATGGAGTTCGATAAAAGTAACCAGTGCTGGCGACCACAATTAGGAGTTAACTAACTATAGTAGCAGTAACTGAACCCACTGAAGTAAGCATGTTTTTGGAAATTCAGTTATATTCGCACGGTACTGCAGGAAATTGCATCGAAAATGTGTCTTTCCTGCTAAGTAGCCGTTCTCTATATGTTGGCGACAAAATTAAATGAAATACTGTTTGTGTTCAAGGCATATTTGCTAGCAATTTATGTTCCCAAATTAATTAAACGAACAAAGTGAATCTGAAAAATAACTAACAGATCTACGCGATACAATTAATAAGAAACAAACTAATTTAATTAAAGCAGCACAACTGAGCAAATACGTTTACCGTAGAATCCTTTGCCACGCAACAATATTCAACATGTCAATAAATACACTGTAATGAAGTTTGAAGCTGTATCATAGATTTTGCTATCTCTGACTAAATACTGAACCAATTCAATTAAATTCACATCCTCAAATTCTCTGTCTTTATTAGTTTCATTATACCTAACATCCACGCATTAGTGGCAAGTTTTCTCTCATCTGGATTTTTTAGTAATTAAAAATATCCCGTTCTTAAGGAAAGAATTTGAAGGGTATGTAGAAGGATGGACAAAAGTGAATTACGTTCTATCATTTGAGACACAGATAATTTAAATATATGATACTAAGTTCAGTTTGATGAAAGTAAATTAACATAGAATATATATACAGAGTGTCCCAGGAGGAATGTGGCAAATTTCGGGAGGCTGTTCCTTATGTTAAAGTATGCCGATATAACCCAAAACACCTATGTCCAAAGTTGAACGGTTACAGAGATAATGGCCCGAGAAAAGTGTGGTCTTCTGGCGGGTCCACGCACTGTACCTGTAAGCTGAGACGTCTTACCTATGTTTGTCCTTGAGTGTGGTGGATTCGCACTAGCCGTAAGCTCATGTGCTACCTACAGAGTACGTTGCGGGCGCGTCGAAAATGGTTGGCAATTAGTTGTGCGGTGTTGCTGAAATGCCTTTTGTGTTTTCACACTTGGAATATTGTGATATGCATTTTGTGTGTGGATTTTGCGGTGGCAATG